TGTGATTACAGTGAAGTTCCATGCGAACAGCTCGAGTATTCACAGCAGCACTTGAGACACGGACGACTTGAATGTGTAAAACCTGTACCAACATTACTTAATACCACGGATTCTGAGCATTTTCTCTGATAGCTAGGTTGTTTCTCCTTGTGTAGATCTTAGTCTAGTCAGACTTTTACAGTAAATGGCTGAATTTACAGCCTAATTACGCCTAAACAATAAAGCAATACTTCAGAACTCAACTGCGCCTGAGAAAGCGTAAGAAGTCGTTGACTAGGATGCAAATTTCTTATGTCTCGATTTTCTCAAAGAGAATTGTGACTTCTTATACGTGTTTCTAGTTAGAAATCTATGAACTTCAGCGCACCTATCCATGTTGAGATTTAAGCAAACAAGTACTCTTAAAGTAGTTCATATGTATTCAAGCACTTTTTAGTGCTTATATCATAAGTATTAGAAGAACTGAAAAGCGCTAATAGTGGCATATTTTATATTTTTTTATGCGCTGAATTTCAACGAGGTAACATTCCTTATGATCTACTACATTGACGAGCATTGTATTCCCATATTTATTCGAAAACTTCGCTTTTTACCGAACTTCTTTTGAACGAGCAGTCTTCGAAAAAAAAAGACATATATCTTTCAATTTCGACCTGCAACTTGGTATACATGAAGGTCTGTTTTAGACTATCTCAAACATTAAATTCTATCAGTTTCAAGTATCACATTGTCAAGGGATGCTTTTTTGCGAAATATTCACGCTTTAGACAGTAATTGAAGAAAAGTGTAAATAAGTTGAGAAATTCCTATGATGACAATGCAATATTTAGAACCGACGAAATTTAATATATGAGATCGTCGAAATAAAACCTTCATGTATCAAAGTAGCAGTTCAATATTTAAAAATATAATTTCTTTTTGCGAAAGATACACTTTCACAGGAAAGTCGGCAAAAAGCGAACTTCTTCAATAAATATGGGAAAGAGTCGGAGTTTCCTAAAGGTTATGGTATTCTACATACGAGAATACCACGTTGATCAATGTAGCGAATCTATAGAGAATTTTCCTAGACAGATACGTTAAGAATTAAAACGGCGTTTAAGCAGTTTAAAATTATCATTTGCTTAACGAGTTTTTAACAACAAATGAAACATTTTTAACGACTTTCCAATTTTTGATGAAAAAACCTGGTGATAAGTAATAAACGTTCTGTTGGAACGATGAATTGACAAATATACGGAGTCTTCTACAAATCCATAAGTAAAAATGTTTTTTTTCGTATAACTTCGTTATTGATTGATCTTTATTAACTGACTTTTCTCGTATGATAAGTGACATGGATAAGTTTTTATTGCTATAGACAAATTATTAAAGTGCTCTTCAATATAATTACCTTCAGTCAAGATACAAAAAAATCCAACATTTGTTTTGATTCCATTATAATATTTCGCAACGTTTGTTTTCTTATAATTGCTTCGATATCTAGATTTATTCTGATCTTTGATTGTTCAAATCTCAGACAGTCGTTTTTGAGAAATTAATTTTGATGTTTTCTCAAAAAAAAACGAAATCGAATAATATCAAGTCAAACAGTTAGAAGCGACATGCTGTGAAATATTAATATGGAATCAGAAAAAAGCCTAAATTCTTGTAATTCGACTTAATAGTAATTCATTTACAGAGAACTTTTCATAAGTTGCTCATAAAATTAAAACTTTGATGGTATCATCTAGTATAAGAAAAAGAAACAACTAATAAATGTCCGTCGATAGTGCAGTGATACGGCAACGGATTTGTTGAGTAGGAACTGTTGGAATATTTTGAAAATATTTCGTTGCAATCACTGAAGAGCAGTTACTCTAGGAAGATTTATAGGAATCTTTAGAACAAGATTGCTTTCATAGATTATGAAGCTTTTTCTACTCATTCTTTTGAAAATCGAAACCAAAACTCATTTTCTCTGTCTATAGTATTACTTTAAATATTCTATTGTTTGAAAAATGTCAATATGATTTTTTTTTCTGTCTCAAATATTAAGTAGTTGAATTCTCAAACATCATTTACAGTATATGATCAAATAACAGTAATGCAATAAATATTCTGTAATTAGAAAATTTGATGTCTATTCTTTGTATACTAAGAAACTCAAGTTTCATTTTGATAAGAATTGATGAATCAGATTTTTGGATGAGTAGATTTTGAAAAACTAGGATCAACGTAAGGTTTAGTTGAGAAGAATGAAGAACAAGTAATCATCTAACAAGTTTCTAATTCTTAAAAAATTACAGTTTAAATTCCAATTATTAACAAATATTCTACTTGATTCACAACACTAAATTCATCTTTATTTTAATATACAAAAACTATCGAAATTTGAAACGATTTGTTTCGCGAAAACGCAATAACATTCTATATGAAGCTGAAACTGTTAAAAAGTTTTAAACTTATTCTGAAAATGGCAAGTTTATTTTTGCAAGAGTGTGACTATCTGCTTTTTTTTTCACCGAAAGGGTTTTCTGTAGTTTGTTTATCTATTGAAGATTTGAAGTTATTTTTATAGTTCTAGGCGTAGTTGTAGCAAACTTTCTTCATTAAACATGCTAACTGAAGAAGAATTTTGAGATATTACTAATATAATTCTTCACTAGTGACTCTGATCTCTATATTATGTCTATCTTACATATATTAATAACTGTAGCTCGATCAATATCAAGATTTTTTTGAAAACGCTAACCATAACGAATGACACATCAAGTGCTTTAGTCTTTCTATCATTGCGAAATGTATTTTTCAGAAAAGAAGTTTATCTGAGTTGAGTGTATTTTCATACAAACAATATAGATATGCATTACTTACACTCAATCGCACGTAGATTCTAACCATAGGCTAAAAATGAAGTATGTAGCAAACCTAGGCAACTATTTTTTAATTGAGATAGAAGACAAACGAATATACGAAAAAGAAAGAATCAGCAGTTAAGAGAAACAGAAAAAAAATATTTTGTTTCTTTTCTCGGTGAGCTGTACGGAAGTACAGAACAGAGGGAGAGAGAGAAATTGTTTCGAACATAGTCGAATGATGAACTATGTTTCTATCTGATGAAGAGAAAAAGAGATAAAATAAGAAATGACCAATAGTTAAAAATCAATGAAACGACTAAAGTCCTGCTTACCCTTTTTTTACACTTATAAGCAATAACAAAATAGACTAACTTAATTCTTTTTGTTGATCACGCATTTTACTCATATATATATATATATATCGCTTTTAAAAGAGAAACAAGAGAAAGATTTACAATATCGTATTATTCAGGAGCAGACGAATAATCTATATAGTCATATGATATTTTAATATATACTGTAATTAGTGATGGTTTCTGCTTTCCATATAAATATTTAAACATCACTATTATTCATTGGCTCATTGATGTATGTGAGTTATTTGCATGATTCCATGGCAAATGCTTTCACGATAGATGCTCCCGAAACATTTGTTTTCCAACAACAGTTACCCTCCAACAACTTGTGCTTCTCGGGCATTAGTTACCATGACACGACTACATATGCAGTGTGAATATGAGTGAAGAGGTAACAGATATTCATACCCACGCACACAGCCTTCTGCATATCCACACCTACATCCACCCACACCCAGGAAAACGTACCATACAAAACTTTGTGAAAAATAAATCAACTATTTAAATCATTTAGTAGGTGTGTGATTGTTTTTTAAGCAGCTATTAAATCTTCTAAATAACTATGATAATGTTTAGATAGCGCTAGACTTTAACTGGCTAGTTACATGAAGTATCATCTACTTAATCATTAAGTAGCTGTATATTATTCGAAAAAGTATCCGTTTTGAGGAGTAACAGTTTTCAGCCCATAAAACTAAAAATTTGAAATAGATTATAATGCAAACAGGCGATCGTATTTTTAGAAACAGATCTATAATCCATCTGTCGTAGTCAGTTTGTAGAGTAATTCTACTTTCAAAAAAATATGTACGTCACTAGAATTTTTCATAGAAGGAACAAATGAAAGATGGTGGCAAACCATATCGTTAGACACAATTTTTTTGTCTGACGTAGTTTCGTTCACTGAACACAAGTTTGAAATTACATTTGAAAAAAGACGATGCTCAAATGAGACACAAATTATGAAAACTATGAATTTTTAAACTAAACGTCATGTATGAAGATGATGATAAAGAAAATATTTTCAATCATCCAAGCTTTCACATATCATTGAAAAGCGTAAAATATATTTGGATCAAAATCTCTTATTAATGTCTGTCGGTAAAAAGATTTTCTATCATTAATTATGTATTAATAAGAAGATACAGCGTATATGTAACCACAAAATAGAATCTTTTTATCCATACTGACCAAGAGTCAATGCTCGTATGAGAAGGTGTGTGTATGACTCTTCTCTCCCGCTACCTTGTAATTCACAAAGCCACCGATAATCAACTATTCAGCTCCCACAAAAATTCATCCATCAACTTCCATCGTGACATAGAATACAGAGTAATCTTTCATTCATCAAATCTCATATCACTATCGTCGAATTTTTCTAACCTTTCGCTGAAGCTAACATTGCATGTAATGACAAAGCCAATTTCTTCAACAAATTCATTAGAGATAATTCAAAATTTTGAGAGTTTGCGCATTGTCTGAAATTGTGTCCTCTACACGCAATATATAGACGCACGACATGTTTTCTATCGTTCAGTTGACTTATCTTCGAACTAGAAATGATTGAACAAACAAACTAATCAGAAAAAAAATAGAAAATGAATATTGTGTGAAATTCAATGTAACTGATGATTATTGAAATGATTATTTATTTAAAATTTTCCACTGGAATAAATAATAAAAGACGGAAAGAGGTATCATTTTATTTCTACGAAAGAGAAAGGAATCAGTCGGTTTAAGAATGAGAGTGATTGGACAGAAGAGTAAAGAAAAAGCCGTGGTTGAGAAGAGTTGTTGTCTTAATTCATCGTTCTATACGAGTAACGAGATGTACAACTAAACAACCAAGAAGTACAGTAGGAAGGACAGTCAGGCGTTGTCCCTGACTCTTAGTGCTTGTAGCAGTAGTGGCCGTTGCAGTGGCTGCTGTCACCGATGTACCTGCTGTTGTTATTGCAGATGTAGGGAGCGTTGCAGTGGCTGCTGTCACTGATGTGGCTGCTGTCACCGATGTACCTGCTGTTGTTATTGCAGATGTAGGGAGCGTTGCAGTGGCTGCTGTCACCGATGTAGCTGCTGCTGTTATTGAAGATGTAGTGACCGTTGCAGTGGCTACTGTCACCGATGTAGCTGCTGTTGTTATTGCAGAGGTAGCGACTATTGTTGTTATTGTCGGCATACTGTTGTAGTCCGTGCTCGTCATTGTATCATTACAATCAATGCTCCGCAACAGTAACAAGCTGATAAGTATCATTATGAGAATATTTGCCAACATTGCCACTCCAACTGAATTATTTCGACGCATACGTTACACAATCTAATAAACTGAAATCGGCTTATTTAACAAAGAGAGTTCCTAGACTTTCCAAAATTAGTAAACTATGAACATAAATCTACTCCGTGAGTAATTTCGATACATTGTCAAAAGCTTTACTCTCCCATAAAATAGTCAATATGTCAGAATTACCAAAATAAGAAGATTACTTATTAGGAAAATTCACTGTTTCTAGGATGCTTTGAAATTGTTGAAAAAGAAAGAATGAAGTGACCAAAGATCAGCCAGAACCAAATAATATTTCATTGGTTTTTAGCCGCTGATACGCTACTTATGTAGAAGATTCGACAAGTATTTTTTGCAAAGAGTTGCAGCATAAGGTTTCAATAATATAAGTATGAGTTTTTACCAAATGACAAGTCCTCAAAAACAGAATCTACGAATACTGATAGTCACTTACAAAAAAATCCGATGCACGTTATTTTTTATGAAAGCTTCAATATTCAACGGATATAAATCGGGACTTCCATGAGTACTTAATAACAAAAGAATAAGTATTTAGAAAAACTTTTTTATCTTTAGGACTGCCTAAAACTTTCCTTACTAATTCATTCTTATTCCAAAAATTTTCGATCTGATGTATAAATAGTGATGCAAGTTTGGAAACACTGATAAACATTTTGGTTCTATCTAGAGGACTGGCCAGGGAGTTTCAATGTGTTGATCATCGCATAGTTGTTAATTGATCGTATTTAAAACCATTTGTATAAGAATAATTAGCAAGTAGAGCTCTATAAAGTTCTAAGGATACAAAAGCTTTTTGAGGCACTTACGTTCTTGTAATGGATCAATTCACAAGTATTCTGGTCACACAAGTACGAAAATGGTCGGAACTTGTAACGAAGAATCTGATAATCGAACAAGATAGCCGGCTTTGTCTAGTTTCAGTTGAGGTAGACGGTAAACGGGGAGATTCGACCATTAGATTCAATTCTAACATTCCTCCTTCTAGGTTCTTATCATATTCCGTGCTTCTCCAACAAGAACTAGTTCGTGTTTGTCCACCTGAATAACTACTTGTGGAAGTGTCAATTTATACCCGTTTAACATTGAACCTTTCCTTAAGTCTAAAGTCCATCGTCGTTTAATGAACAACTATTAACTACTTATTTCGTCCATGTTCAAGTAGACCAAAAATTTATAATCTTAACTCTAATATCTTACTTTATTTGTCTATTATGGTTTCTGAGACAGAATGATATAATAGGGAAGCGGAGCTTACACTTTAGTCATCATATACTTCAACACTCATTCCTAATCTTCTTTGAGTAAAGCTTACACTGATATCATTTATACCTGTAACTCTAAACTGATGTGCAACATTTTTCATATCTTTCTGGTATAATACCAATATTGGGACGCAAAATCATGTAAAAGAATGGGTCAAGACGATTATTTTTCAAAGATCAAACCTTAAGCATCGATGTCACTGAAAAATGGTTTGTAAAAGTTTAGTCTTGATGAAACGAATCACGTAGACACCGCAGTCCGATTCCATACACAAAAGCGCGAGTATTGACAGCAACACTTAAGACACTCATGACTTGAATGTGTAAAACATGTACTAATATCACTCAAAAAAAAGGAATTTGAGCACTTTCTCTGATAGCTAATTTGTGTGTCGCTGTAGATGTCTTAATCTAGTGAGAATTTCACCATAAAATAACTGAAATTTTAGCGTAAATAAGGCGAGTAAAACAAGCAATGTTGCAACATTGTGTTTTGCTGAGAAAAGTGTAACAAATTGTAGAGTAGGAAGCAAATTTCTAGTGTCTCGATTCTGTGAAAAGCAATGCTGACTACCTCCACCTTTGCTTCTAGATAGAAATCTATGAACTCTAGCGCATCTACCCATATGAAAACTGAAGCGAAAATGCGCACTTTATGTAGCTTATATTTCTCGTTCAGAAGCTTACATTTTAAGCGGCTAAGAAGCGCTTCCGATTGGGTATTTAAGCATTGGAAGGTGCTTAAATCGTAAGTATTAGAAACTCTGAAAAGCACTAACGGTGGCATATTTAAGTGTTTTTTTTAAGCGCTGAATTTCAACGAGGTAACATCTCTTGATGATCCACTACATTGACCAATATTGTGTTCTCATATTTATTCGAAAACTTCGGTTTTTACGAAACTCTTTTTGCACAAACATTCTTCGAAAAAAAACAGTTTTGTTTCGAATAAATATGGAAAAGAATCAGAACGTTCTAATGATTATGCTGTCCTCATGATTTTCCACATATGAAAAGACTACGTTGACGAATATAGTGAATTGCTGAGAAAATGCTACTTCGTAAAGCATTACAAGGTCTGTTTACGACTCATTTCGTAGACAATCAATTAACTAATAATACTTCACTTTGATCTTAAAATATGCTCGACTAATATGTTTTATTTTCACTATTTTCTTTTACAAGCTAATGTAAACTGATTAGTCTAAAGCCATCTTCTCAAAACTTGATGGACAATCAAGAGTGGAAAATAATTCATATTTGATTGTACAGTATTTATCAAATATTCGAACTCATGAGTCAAAGGTATTTTAATGTTAACTCTTGAATCATCTTTAGCCAATAAATTAATTTCGATTCAAATTTAAAGCTGATCTCTTATTACTAACTGCTGAGAAACTATTGAAACTCGATACCTTCTCCATGTTTTGACCTATATTCTAGCCACTTTCCAATATACACATTGTAAATCATCAAATATCAATTTTACAAAACCTGCATGTTCAATAATCTATCACTGTTTCTATGAAAACACAATTTCTCTGTTTTCTAAGATGGAATAAGGAATATAGAAAAACTGTTGAGAATGTACGAACTCATACAAGTGATCGTGAAGAAACACTATCCATGATATTTTCTTTCTAAAATATATTTTTTCGACTATAGTTCTCTAAGTGATGAGAAAAATATGGCAAACAAAATGAAACTATTTTGTAGCTTTTTTTTTTTTTACTAATGAACTTTGTCTGATAACTCATTGTTAACTGCAGAAGTTTTGGCTGAACTGAAAAGTTCGTATTAGAACATTGATTATTGAAAAAAAATAATGGCTATTAAAAAATATCAAGTTACAAATTACCTTATAGAGTCCAAAATTTACAGTTTGAGAAAATATTATGTAATTACCATTCTATCGAAAGATTTACAGCATTGAAATATTCTTCCTGATAACTACTCAGCCTTCTGTTTACGATTGTAAACTAGTAGGTACATTTATCTGAACATTTATTTGGACTAAACAAGTCAATCGTATACTAAAATAAATACAATTAAGCGTATTCGTACCGTACACCATTAAACTCAAAAGTAGAAGCCGTTCTACATGCATATAAAAAAAATCATTATTTTCTTTTTATTCAACCACGCAAAGCTACGATGAATGTAATTAAATCACTTAGTTAATTATTCGATAGTTACACTAATTATATTTCAAGCGTTGGATACGAAATGATGAAAATAATATGGGAGTTGCGAATGAAATAAAAGGAACTAGCTGTCAATAGTTAGATTGACAAGAAGGGTTGACGTCCAGAGATTGTCCTCTTAAGACTATTATGAACATGTACACATTGCAAATATTTAAAATCCCCATTTAAAAAAAAACAAACGATAGAACTGTTGTCGTGTCTCAAACAAATCTGGCTAGAAATTAGGGTCGCAAAAAACAAAATCTTGAAAAGATGACTCGGAATACTTTATCTGTGTAACAAAGCCAACGAATTCTATTTATTACTTTTTCAATAGACAGATAGGTAGATTAGTACAGAAAGTTTTTTTTCATAAACCATTTTATTAAGTAGACACCATGAATTATCTTCTGTACATACGTGCTAGAAAATAATAATAATAATAATAAAACTAACGTTCATTTGCATGGTCACTTTCTTTCATTTTTTTTTCATGTAATCAGTACACTATCATTACATCAAATAATTGATGACTCTGTCTTTTGTACTGTCGCCGTCTGTTAGTAAAATATGTAAGCTAATAATTCAACAACCACAAGCTAATAGCAACACTGTAGCGAGTGAATCACTCTGTAATCGGGTAGAAAGTGACGAATGTAACGAATTTCTTATCGCAAATAAAGATAAGAGCTAAACTAAATTTAAACAAATGATATGCTACAAGCTCTCGCATCGATTAGTATGTATCGAGAAAAGCCTACAACAAAATGTTGCTTCAGATTTTACTGTGATGATAAATGTCCATATCTACAGATACGCGCGATCGAAGGCTACAATGCATTATAGCGCTTAAATATGAAAAAATCACAACATTTTCCAGTGTTTTTCACTGTAACTCAAGCGAGGCACTTAGATCACCATTTTCTAAGCTCTGTTAAGCAGCTTGTTTTAGCGAAGCGATTTTCTACAGCTTGCAAAACATAAAGTTAAGCGCTTTACTAAGCCGCTTAGAAATAGCTTGCAATGGCAAAACTTTTATCATAGGTAATCGTTTTTCTTTCTGGATTTTTGTTTCATTCTAACATGCAATCCGAAGATTATAAAAACATGGAAACAACAGTCATCTATAGCTCATCACTAGTTTCAACAGGTTTCATTTATGCTGATGAATATAGCGCACTGAGAACTACGGACTATACACTTAAGTTTTCGAATTCAAACGGTTACGCAAGCAAAAATTGAGAACTATCGAAAGCATAATCAGTGGCGTCAAAACACATTTGTCTAAATCAAAGCACACGGATAGGCTCCTACAGGACTCCAATAAAATCTGACACGATCTTATCAAAAATTGCTAGAATGTTTTGTCTGGGATTCCAATAGTTGGATTCTATATGATGCCTGATCATTCTAACGATTCTTCACAGTAGGATCCTACTATTAAAATCCTACGCACAGCATACAGACATTATTGGACGTAATCTTATTGAACTTCTATACAATGCCACAAGTGTTTCAGCGCTCGAAAATATCTACCCAGGCGTGTTGCTTCGTCGATCAGCGATTTTACTCGATTTAATTCATAGTTAAGGTCGACCAAAAGTTCTGGTCAGGACGTTTAAAAGACCTTGTCGTATAAGGTGAACTATTCCAAAATGAAAAACCAATTAAACCATGTTGTAGGGATTTTTGAAGCGTGTCAAAGGGTATATAGTAAATCTTGTTTTCATAAGCCTTTAAGGGAAATAAAGTGATTCTAAAACCATCTCGAAAACGTTTCCGTTTCCAATATTTTTTTATTGAGAACCTTTTTGAGTATTCGGGCATCGAAAACGGTGGAAGGATTTCCAAGAAACCAAGCAGCGTTTCCGAACACATTTTGTATGACCCTGAATGGTGTCCGAATCTTGACAAAATCGTGTGTTTCCGAGAGAAGTTTCAGAAGCTCATCCAGTGTTCTGGAGCACCGAAATAGAATTCAGATATCTTCTTTTTGATTCTCATGTTCTCATCGTTATTTTAGAGATTAAGCAATTGCCCGACATCGATGAGATAAACCTTATTTAATTTATGTGGAGTTATTATGTAAAACCATTAGAACTCTGAGAATTCAAAAAATACATTGTTCGCAAGAAAATCTCAGCGTGTTGTTACATTTTTCAGTGCCTAAAAATTTGAATAGATTATGACAAATCTTGCTGGGAGGATCGAAGAGTTGCACTCAATCGTCAAGTCATTAAAAGGATGGCGTCTTTTTCCTTCGTCATACACTTATGTTTTGATCCAATCTCAACCATTATCATCCTTGTCAACATATTGTACCACAATATAGTACAAGTTTCAGCCTTTTCGGATCCATTCAACCAATTTATACGGAAGAGTGATAGGAGAGGAATGATGGAAAACATGAAGAAATCTTCATTTCCGAAAGAATATATAACAAACACCGGATCTCTTGGAATGTTTCCAACATAATTTATTCTCTATATATCTCCACAAGCGTAAATGATAAAATCTTAATTGTGTTCTAAACATGCGTCCTAATATTCTGTACAATAACCAAAAAAAAAGCTTCTCTTGAGTTTTTCTAATAGATGTGAAGCGAGCTAAAAGAAAAGAGGTATCAGATGTTGTAATTCCTTACTTTGATGTCAATGTAAATGCTTTAAAAAGATGCATTTACTATCTAAATCGAATCAAATTTACAAAAGCTCATTTCTAAGTATCATCATCTTAATAAAACATGCATCTTGATGTTCGAAAATAGTCAGAAAGGATGAAGCGTCTGGAAAATATGATTGTTGTTTAGCAGAAGAAAAAAAATCGGAAGAGTGAGAAACTATAGGTTTTCATACACCCTTGTTTTTAGTTCTCTCCAAACCTATTAACACAAGTGACAAGAATTTTTGCGTTCATCTATTGTAGAGAATGCTATGACGTGTCCTTTCAAAAATAAGTTGACGTTTTTATGAATCGTCTCTTTGAACACAAATAAAGTAAAATATCTTCAAAGCATTCAGGAAAAAACGGTAGATATTTATTTCCTTACATCTCAAGATAGTTATCCCAACTGATCTGATAAAAGGTTCGCAAAAAAAGACGCGAACACCAAAACCAGACTTGAACCTTAACGCAACTGAAGACCCCAAAACTTCAAGTGAGGATGTAGGTGTGGAGTTTGGGGTTTGGGTAGCTTATCGTGGCCCCACGCCTACTGTACACGCACCCCACTCCCCCAGATACATCCACATCCACCCTCATCAGAGTTTTTGTATTGCTCATAGAACGTGTTATCCGGCCACAAATGGTTGAACAAACAAATTAATAAGCAAAGAAAGCAGAATAAACATTGGGTGAAATTCGGTGTGACTAATAAATATTGGCGTGACTGTTTATTTAAAAATTTCACCTGGAAAAAATGATAAAGAGCAAAACGGATATCAGTTTTTTCTGGGAAAGGAATAAATCAGTTTAAGGACAAGAGCGATTGGGTAAAAGAGTAAAGAGGAAAACGTGATGAAGAAGAGTTGTTGTATTAGTTCATCGTTCTATACGAGTAATGAGACGTACAACTAGACCACCAAGAAGTACAGCAGGAATGACAGTCAGGCGTTGTCCCTGACTCTTAGTGGTTGTAGAAGTAGTGGTCGTTGTCGTTGTTGTTGTTGCTGATGTCGTAGTTGTTGTTGTCGCTGATGTTGTAGTCGTTGTTGTTGCCGATGTCGTAGTTGTTGCCGATGTCGTAGTTGTTGCCGATGTCGTAGTTGTTGCCGATGTCGTAGTTGTTGCCGATGTCGTAGTTGTTGTTGTGGCGGACGTAGTAGTCTCCGACGTGGTGGTGGTGGCGGTCGTCGTCGTTGTGTTCTGACAATCAATGCTCGGTAGCAATAACAAGCCAGTAAGTATCATTATGAGAATATTCGCCGACATTGCCGCTCCAACTGAATTATTTCGACGCATACGTTACACAATCTAATAAACTGAAATCGGCTTGTTTAATAAGGAAAGTTTCCAACCTTTTCAAAATCAGCAAATTATGAACATAATTATTCTCCTTGAGTAGTTTTAATGTATCGTCAAATATTTTACTCCCACATAAAATGATCAATTATAAACAACGAATCATCCTCTGAAATCATTTATGTGTGCGTGGCGCTCCGTCATTTATAAAAGATCATTTCAAGTTGGAACCAATATGGGTTGATATGTCAAAATTTCCAAGAGAATGAAATTACTCATTAGGAAAATTTACTGCTTCTAGGATCCCTTGAAATTATTGAAAAAGAAAGAATGAAGTGACCAAAGATCAGCCGCAACCAAATAACGTTTCATTAGTTTTTAGCCGCTGATACGTTACTTATGTAGAAGATTGAAGAAGTTTTTTTTGCAAAGAATTTCAGCATAAGGTTTCAATAATACAAGTATAAGTTTTTACCAAATGAAAACTCCTCAAAAACAGAATCTAGGAATACTTTTAGCCACTTACAAAAGAACACGATGCACATTATTTCTGTATCAAAGCTGCAATATACAACGGATGTAAATCGAGACTTTCACGAGTAGTCAAGGACAAAATAGTAAGTCTCTAAAAGAGCTTTTTTTTCTTTATCACTTTCTAAAACTTTCCTTACTAATCCATTCTTATTCCAAAAATTTCCCATCTGATGTATAAATAATGATGCATGACTTAAAATACTGATAAACATTTTGGTTCTATCTAGAGGACCGGTCAGGGAGTTTCAGTATTTTGATCATTGCATAGTTGTTAAGTGATTATATTTAAAAACAGTTGCATAAGAATGATTATCAAGTAGAGCTCTATAAAGTTCTAAAGATACAAAAGCTTTTTGAGGCACTTACGTTCTTGTAATTGATCAATTCACAATCATTCTGGTCACACAAGTACGGAAATGGTCGAAACTTGTAATGAATAATCTGATGATCGCACACGGCAGCCGACTTTTTCTAGTTCTAGTTGAACTTGACTATGAAACTAATAGCCGGCCACCAGCTTGCCTACATGAAGGCATCAGTTAGACTAGCTTCTCTACAAAGTTGTATTAATTTTCGACAAATTATCTTACAGATAACAGTGTGTTAGCAGAAGAACGCTTTTTTATATAAGTTGTGTTAGGCACGGATATTTTTGAAAAATAATATCTCAACGATAGTTTGTCTAAAATTACTGAAACTTTGTGAGCAAGTTAGTTTAACTGATGCCTTAGTGTGGGCAAAGTTTCAGGTCAAAAGTCGAAACTTTGATTCTACCGGAACAGTGGAGTGTTCAAGGAAAATGACAGTAAAATATATGTATCTCAGCCAAATTGTAACTTGTGCCTATATCTTCTTAAGGTTTTTTGTAGCCTATACATCACCTACTTGTGAACGAACTTCGGGCTCAAAAGCTTTTTAGCGCCTGGGAAGGTTGCATCGTAAGTCAAAACACGCGGGTAGGCACCTGTAGGACTTCGATAAAATTCGACAGGATCCTATCAGAAATTGCTAAAATGTTGTGTCTGAGATTCAAAAATTTGAATTCTATGTCATTCCTGATCATTACAACAATTCTTCACAGTAAGACCTGACTATCAGATTTCTACACGCAACATATAGACATTATCGGACGTAATCTTATTGGGCTTTTGTACAATCCCACAAGTTTTTCAGCGGTCGAAAATGTCGACTCAGGTGTTCTGCTTCCTCGATCAGCAATTCTACCAGATATAATTGATAGTTATAAATGAGACTTCAAGACCTCTACGTAAACAAATAGACTTATAGCATTCAATTTCAATTTAGAGAGTAAAATTGAGAAAGTTTAAGAAAAAAAATAGCAGTGTCTAATGATTTTCCAAAAATCAGAATCAAAACTAGACTAAAACTTCAATGCATAGAAGGCAACATGACTAATATGCGAGTTCAGTAAAAGTCCTATGATAACTTCTTCTAAAGTCTAGTTCATTTTTTCAAAAAGAAAACAGCGAAAATTCTGTACTTCAAGGATATTTCAAAAGTTACTCTCTTGAACTTCTTAGCAATCTCAAGACTAGTATTAACGCGTATCACGAGTATATTAGTTCGAATTTATTTTATATAAGTCTGTCCGACAATAAATTTCAAATACTTCATCGTATTTCAAAATTTGATTATCAGTGAAATATGCTGAAGTATTTGGGCCTTATTATCGGAAAGATTTATATAGAATGAACTCCAACTGGTATACTTGCAACATACATTAATAGTAGATTTAAAATAGTTGAGAAGATCCAAAGAATAACTTTGACATGCCTTTGGAGTGACATAAGATGCTGATGAAGTACGAAATTTTCGCTTATCTCCACTGCAAAGAATTGAAGCAGTGGCAAAAATCCAGTCGATTTACTTGTCATCGATTGCAACCGGACTTGTTAGTGCTGTCAAGTTTAGTCGAACGAGTTTCAAGGATTGTGTTTCATATTTTCTTCATCTAATTGTGTTTTTATCAAGAAGATCACAAAAGAACTGAAAGGCAATTAGTCAAACTAACAATCAGCGGATATACGGCAATAACCGACATTAATCGGTTCCGAAGCGCTTTTACGTAAAACTCAACGAAACTGATCGAGCCTAATAGATAGTTTCCGTTCAATGATACAATAGGGGAAAAAAATGAGTAAAATTTAAGAAAAATTGTATCAAAACACTAACCAACTTCGAATACAACATACTACCGTTAAAATTTTGATCATTGGTTTTATTATCATATTTTAAATCTAATAAGAGAAGACTTCTAAATACTGAGTGTAATCCCTTGATGATAAGACTATGTAAATCAGCTAGGCTTTCATCGCTTTTAGTATTTAGAGAAAGACATGGCTGTAGCTGTGCATGAATATAATCTCTTTCACCAATCACAGCTACCTTGTCCATCTCCACCCAAATCTATCCCGTCATATAACTTGATGCTGATTCAAAGCAAAAAAGCCTTTTTTTTATTTGTTGTACATCGAATATCATTCTCGCGTGTGAATCTGTTATTGTATAAAACAGAGCTCAGCACGATGAAGAATACACTACTGATACGTGTGAAAAACTATTGTTTTTCAAAAAATAATCGACAGACTACTTAACCCACATGATATATGATCTATTTTGGATTACACTATGTTGAGATGCACATTATCATTCAAAAATGAATAAAATAATTGAACATTGTTTTTGTTAGCAATTTTCAGATTCACGTTATGTTTTGAATCGTTAATACAACACACAAAGATAATTATACTCCTAAATTTATTCAATATTAGAATTTTTTAACGAAGCACATCTATTAAATATATGTTCAACTTGAGATTTCTTTCAATAAAATTGTCTTCTAATTATTTCTATTTCAATTTAATTTTTTAATTAACCTATATTTCTAAAATTAATTTTATTTCAATTATTCAGGTTGATAATTCCGGACTCCAGAAACAAACGGATTTCAATGGAATCAGTTGAAAAGATGCGAGAAAAAGCACCGTATCCGGCAAGAAAACACTGAAAATCAATGAAACATGGAAACAGTATTCTCGAACGAAAAGTCTCCAAGTTTTTTCGGACTATTTATGACCGTCTCCTTGCCAAAAGAAACGGTAATTGATCGGAAGTCGCCGAAAAAATACAGAGATTTTCTAGCCTAGAATACCGTTTTCAATTTCAATCTATTTCCGATGTTTTCCTATCAGAACCAACTCTTATTGCTTGATCTTAATTTCTTTTTTTTACATGGAAGATCTTCTTTTCTGATGGGATGATTTAAATTTCAAGCGACATCAATTCGATCTTGAGAGAGAAGGCCACTCAAGTCGATTCTCATGCTTGACAAAATACTGATTCGAATATCACTGGATAAGACTAAATTCAACTGTCAATCACTGCCAAGTGGCATTAAATTATTATTACTGTTCATATTCCACACTCAGGTCTGGTCTTACGTTGTTAGTTACAAACGTTATAGTGATGGTAGTGGTTAAATTGAATTTTCACAATAGTATACAAATTATTTAATTGTATGTCAATATTAAATGTGTTCTAATATAATTAGAAATTTTGAGTCTTTATCTATTAAATAATTGTTTGATGTTTTGTTATTGAGATTTTTCAAAATTTGCTCAAACTATCGATGCTTGAATCTATTGGAAGTGTAAGGATTATGATAGTAATCAAGAACTGTCAACACCATGGATGACACAAACAAATATAGAAAACATAATTAATTCAACATCTAATAATCAGTATATAATATTAAACTTCTTGATGATGTCAGCTAATAATAATAATTGAATCTTTTATATTTAGACTGCAGTGTTCCTAAGTATTCTCATGTTAGTCGATTTATTTTAAAAATATCATTGTCATTGTATTTGTATTTTCGAGAAACAATATTAAAGTCAAATGCTGAAAACACAAAAATCAAATTGATTTTAATATCAGTTTATATATGCATTTACGTATAGTTTGATAGACTCTGATGAGCTGATTATCCATCATAGTTGTTTTTTTTTTCAGGAAAACACTAATTGCCATTATTTAGTTTTTCTAAATTCTTCGAAAATAATTTATTCTACTTCAACATCAAAATCCGACTACAAAAATTTTGTTTATTTAGATTTTAAATGACGAAAGTGAAAACATTTTGTGGAAATACGTAATCTTTAACCTGGTGGCGTAACCAATCGGAGACTAGAGAGAGCGTCGTATCTTCCTCGCACCAACCGCTGATCTCTACTTAAAAGAAAACTTACGTTTCCTCTAGAAGAGTTATCAGCGGATCTCTACGAGAAAGCTATAGGTTCACATTTTTGTAAATCTAGCTATGTTTGAATTCGAGTTTTTTTCAGGAATATCTGTTATCCTCTATCTATACATATAATGTTCAGTGTCTCTGTGTGTGTCTGTCTGTGCCGAGCCAAAGGTCAAACGTCAAAGGTTAAAGGTCA